CGAGCTTACAGTGTCGAAGAAAGCAGACGGATCGCTCGACGCTACTGACATCCTCGCCTTCATGAAAGGTCCGTACCCTACCGTACCCGCCACCACAGGTTGAGCGCTGATGGAGCGTGGACGTATTAGAGATATCGTCGAACGGGAATATGAACACCGTAGATGTGATATTCCCTTTCTGGCCGCTCGCGTTATACGCCAACCCAGCGCTGGGCAAGTACCTCCTCGAGCCGATCTTCAAATACCAATCGACCGGTCTTTACCCGTTCGTCCTTTCCACCCCTCTGCCCACCCCTCGCGCCGCTCCTCCTAACGCTGACGCGTTGAAGGAACAAATACGCCGTACACGACCTAGGCGCGCACTACCCGAACGCGACGGGCCATAACGACGGGCAAGACGAGCCGATGCCGCTTGAGGAGAGTGGGAATATGATCGTTATGGCGTTGAGTTATGCGCAGCGGACGGGGGATAAGAGTCAGATTCAACAATACGTACGTCTTTTCCACCTTGAGTTATCCCTCCCGATCCCTGTGCTGTTTCCCCGTCCCCTGCGCTGTCCTTCCCGTCCTCATCGCTGTCCTTCCCGTCCCTTGCGCGTCCTTCTCGTCCTTCCCGCGCTGTCCTTCTCATCCTTCCTGCGCTGTCATTCCCGTCCTCCCGCACGCGCTGACTGTTGCTGTTTATGTAGTCGGCACTACTCGCGCAGTGGACGCAGTTCCTGATCTCGAACGCACTGGTACCCGCAAGTCAGATCAGCACGGACGACTTTGCAGGCGCGTTGGGCAACCAGACGAACCTCGCTGTTAAGGGCATCATTGGCATTGCGTGCGTTCCTTCGCTTGGCTTGCTCGCGCGCTGACAGGACGGTGAAGGGCGATGGGCGAGATTATGAAGCTCAATGGCGATAGCGCGCGGGCGGATACGTACACCGTGCGTTCTGCGTTCGGTCATTGATAAGTAAGAGGCTGATGAGTGCGCGACCTTGTAGAGCTTTGCGAAGGACTACGTGACGCGGTTCCGCGCGCTCGCGACGTCGCGCGACAAGAGCCACCTGAAGCTCAGTGTGAGCACACTATGGTTGCTAGATGATCGATGGCAGCTCGTTGACGTTCGAGCTTCCAGTACGGCGACGACGCGTCTTGGGGGCTCGTGTACAACCTGTACGCCGACAAGTTGCTCGGCCTGAACCTCTTCCCGCAAGACCTATACGACACTCGTAAGTTACGGCTCCTTCTTCTATGTACCTTGCGAGATGTATTGTACCTGACGCCACGTGTGCTGCAGAAACGGCGTGGTACAAGACGAAGATGGATAACTTTGGCATCGCGCTCGATACGCGACACTCCTACACCAAGTCTGGTCCGTTTACATTCTTCCTCTCTCCCTCCCGTTGACCTGACGCCCGTTCCGCGTTCGTAGACTGGCAAATCTGGACCGCCGCAATTGCCGACGACGACCTGAAAGGCGCCCTCGTCGACGCGGTGTTGCGTTACGCGGGCACCTCGGACATCAACTCGGGCGCGCCGCTCAGCGACTGGTACGACGCGAAGAACGGTTCGACGGTCGGGTTTCGCGCGCGTCCTGTTGTGGGCGGGCATTTTGCTGTTCTGGGGCTGCAGAAGTACGTTAATGCCCTGGTGTTGGTCGGTGCTGACTGTGACGTAGGGACATGTCGCTCAGCGGCGACTCGAGCTCTGCAGGCGGCTCGACGACTGGCGGTACTGGCGGGTCTGGGACGGACGACGGTACCGACGGCGACGGTCTTGATCTGAACGGGGATGGCGCGGCCGCATCCTTGACAGCGTCGAGAAGCCTGATAACGGCGCTGGTGCTGTGCGCTGTAGGCTCTTTGGTGTATCCGTGATCGGACTTTCTTCTCGATGGTGCGCGCTCGTTCTCCTTCCCCTACGCTTGTGCCTTTCCTTCATCGCTTCCCTGTGCTGTGTCTTCGTCGCGCATTCATTTCGTACTTCGCAGGTAAGCTAAAGTGTAAATTATCTTTGACGCTTTTTATGACTATCGCGCTTCGCCGTTCCCGTGCAGTGGGTGAGAAGCAACTTATAATAATTTGATTTCTTATGGTTCTACTTACAGAACGCCCTGCGTCTTTGCAGGCATGCGAGGCTACGCCTAAGCTAGATACTAGAGATACAGCGGGTCACCGAATCAACAGGACGCGAGTCACGGTTCAAGTTGTACAAGTTCGATCCAATAAGATATGTTTGTTGGAAGTCGCGCGGCACGGCATTTCCGTGCATTAATATCTGAGTCCAAACCAGTCAGGCGCCGGCGACTCGGCGGGATGGCAGTAGGTGTTGCAGTCGAGTAGACGTTCGTAGCCGTCGTCGCTGATAGCGTAGCTAGTTGAGGGTTCGGGATCGTCGTAGGGCAGCGGGCTGCCGAAGTCGAGAAGGGCTGGGTCAAGGGCATCATCGCTGAGAGTTCCGCTGGTCTGCATAATTGCAGCCAGTGTGGGCTCGTCGTCAAGCATCGCCTGAGCGTCCTCGAATTCTGCTTGGTCACAAGCGTCGACCGGAACGTCGTCTGGACCGTCGTCGTACACGTGCGGGGTACTGGCAACGACGAAGTCTCCGTCTTCGCTCTCGTCTTCTGACTCGGGCTCGAACGAGACACGAAGCGCATTTGGCTCCCGGTCCTCGCTCTTCACTGAGGCCTTGCGATGGTAGCCATCGTAGTCGGGCGAGATGTCGGCAAGTCTCCGAAATGCGGACGGAGTCGTAGGCATGCTGGAGAATGCGCTGGGAGTGGTTGGCACGCTGGAGTACAGACCGGGAGTCGTCACGCGGGACGGGGAACTCGGTGACAGCGGCGGCGTCCGCTGTTCCTCCGACCCGGACTCGGACTCGACAATGATCTCCGTCTCAGGCAACTCAAGCGATTCTCCGGGCAAGGGCGTCAGCGGTTTAACGAGACTCTGTCTCACATGTCAGCTCCTCGGGATGCAGAACAACATGTCAAGTGGTGCGCACCTCGTCTAGAACCGTGGCCGCCCAGGCGTTGAAGGAACGTATGAGGTTGTTGCGGCGCATGCCTGCGCACCACAGCTCGAGGACCACGTTCGACCTTGCATCGAGGTCTCTGCCCGCGGCTCGATTTGCCGCTAGTCGGTTGGCTGTGACTCTATCGGCTCGGAGCTGGCGCTTTTCGAGGTCCTGTTCTGCGAGCTTCATGTTCTGCGCCCGCATCGCCGCGTAGTACCTCTCCTGGTACCGTTTGCGCAGTGCAGGCTTCTCCAACGCCCACATTCTGCCGAACAGACGGATTCGCTGGCGAGTGTTTGTCACGATCTTGCAAACTCCAGGATAGAGCTTTGGCGCTTCGTTCTTGTAGTGTAAGAAGGCGTTCGGTACACGAGTGGCCTTCGACGGATTGGGATGCGCCTTGCGCCTTTTTTTGGTGGACTTTCGAGGTCGAGCGAGCTTCTTCTTAGGCGGTGGGGAGCGGATTGCTGCTGATGGCGCATAGTCTAGTGTTGTGTCCGACTCGTAGCCTGAGTCGTCGGAGAAGAGTGCTCCGAGGTCGACAGCGGGCGGTGAAACTGGTGTGTCGGAGGATGCGGGTCGACCTCGAGTGGAGGGCTCTCTGGGCATAATAACGAACGTACAGTCGAAACGAGGGCCGAAGGATGAGAGCCAAGATGTGAACGGTCGGTCGCGGTCGGGTTGGGTCGGCTGCCTGGCGAGTGCAGCTTCCTGCTCCACGTCGCGCCGGGGGATCGAAGACGAATGTTGTACTCTAGACCTCATGTGTTCGCTTTATATGAATCTAAATCACCGGAACTGCTCCGGGCGCGGCTGGGAGAGGCAGTGAATACAGAAGATCGCCAGGCATATGAATCAGCGGACGCTGTCCTGCACATATCCATCTTGCCAAAGCCTACTGAAGCACGAGGTAATTGGGCGAGCAGACTGCTTCGCGGCAGACTGAGAATTCCGTCCAAACGATGTTCAAGGAATACACCGCACAAGAGAAACGGCCTCGAGTTCCCATTCACGGACGGTGACGTCCTCCGCGGACTTCCTACGCCCCGGCGCTTCAAGGGTCTGGCGCCCGAAGAAGTCTGATGACCTTGATCCTTCATTTCGGGTTCCTCGCTAACATCGACCTTCGCTTGAGACTGTTTTCTGTGTTGAATGTATATACCGTACATGGACGAATGACGACCAGAGCGGGCTGCGCTCCGACTCGAGCTTCGTCCGAATAGGCTGACGTTCAGAAGAGAGCCCATGGCTTCCGCAATGATTTACCTTACTCTTTGCCTGTTTAATGATCCGGTCTTGTGCTCAGGAGCTTCAAGCTGGCAGTGCTTAAGCGAGGATCATGGTGCGATGGCGACAGGCTTCTGGTCAGACGAGCACGAAACTCGCCGATGATCTCGGTCCTGTCACCGCCTTGAGCAACAAAGACCGCCGCGGACCACATGCCTAATCACCTACAGTCAGGTTCAGTTGTTCATCCCGGCTGAAACGAGTCAGTTGTCAGCCAGCCTGCGCCTTCTGTTTTTGTTCCCGCTGGCACACTTTGGCACCGGCACCGAACACCGTGTCGCTCTCGGAACAATGGCGGCCTCAATTCAAAGTGGCGGCGGTTAGAATAGCCGGATCCTGTCCACGACGTGTTGCGAGAGGCTCTTTACACTGATGCACACTCGGATATGCGAACTGGCTGCGCCTTCCGTTCCGAGAATCCATGAGTAAGGAGCACCGGCAGGATACCTCAGAGGTGGATATACAGAAGTGAATCTGAGAAAAGTTTAGAGTAGATTGGAAGAGACATGGAGGGCATGGAGGGTGCATCTAAAGCTCCGCCTCGCACAAGAACGAGGGCACCCGCCAAACATGACCAAATGAAGATAATGGCGGAGTACGGAAAATGCCGAAAATCTGTGAGGAGGACCCGTTCGCGACGCCGGGAATGACTCAAAGCAAAGGACGGAACACATGGGAAAAGTACTGGGGCTAAGAAAGGCAAAAGGTAGTTCCCCCGCCGGGAGTCGAACCCGGGCCGATTGTGCTCCTATGCAAATCCGGGAATTGCCGGTTTTTTTGAAAGACAACTATCCTAGCCGTTGGACCACGAGGGAGTTATTCTGTGCATGTTTATGTCATTTATATGCTTTTCGAGAGCCTTCTGTCTCCTCAGAATGGCCCCAAACTCATGTACAGGCCCTGTGTATGCTGATGTTGTCTCAGCAGCTTGAATCTGTACGCTGAGTAACCTGTATGTTCAATTTTTAGTGATATTGGGTGCTCCTATCGATATCATTAGCCCCTATGAACTTTTAAGCCGCCTTTCGTGTGGGATACGTCGGTTTTGACCAAGTCACACATCTGTCTCCACATCGGTTGCAGCCGCATCTTTCTCCCCCAACTGGCAGTGTCTAGCCCCATCTCCCAGCGCTCTGTCGTGCTTCATAGCCGGGTCTTCCGTGGGGTGCTCCAATACACCTACATCCATCCGCCTTGCGGTCTGTCTGGTTCATCACAAAGGTTGTGCAGTAGTACTGAACCTGGTCCCGCTTTCCAAAACTCCAACTCTGTGGGCAAGTTGCTTCGCTTACACTCCTTCTCACGCATTCATGCGTATCTCACGCTCGCAACACCACCGACAATACGACCACAATTAACACGCTTCCTGTTCTACCACTTTACAAGCGATGTGCACTCGTCTTCGATCTCTCGCATACTCCCGGACCGTTGCGGCTTGCCTGCAGGTTCACAAGCTCAGATACGGTTGTATTTCGTATTGTCACCCGACTCGATGCTCCGCAACCACGCTCCATTCTGCTCCCGCCAGAACCGCCCTGTGTGCGACGTAGACTGGTCCGGTTTCGACTCTCCCTTCGCGCAATATCCGTGGCGGGCGCTTGTACGCAACCTTACTCCCGGCTTTGTCTCGACGCAATTCTCGTTCACAGCTCAGTGTTGACTCGAGCCTGTAGCTGCGCATGAAGATGTTGAATTGACAAGTCCGAAAGCTACTTGGGCCTCGGAGAGACCAACCGCTGGTTAGCCTAGGAGTGCTAGATTCGCGTGGTTGATGAGCTGGGCAGGCTGCCGCAACTTTATAGGCGTATGTAGCTCTTGCCTAAATCCGACGCGGGCCCAGTTGACGGCAGCTCGGTCTGCTGTTACAAAGTTCTCGTCGCAGAGTTTCTCGATTCCAAATCGACCATGATATCGATATCCTTCTTAGTTATCTTCCTACGTCAAAGTCTGCAACGGAAACTACCTTCTTGGCAACTTTGACTGCGTGTTGACTAAGATGCACCGAGCTCGCCTGATCTGCGCGGTCATGTCTTCAATCGCAGATTCTGCCCGTGGAAGACGCATCGAGTGACGGGAGTAGAGCGCAGGCTCTCAGTATACATTTGACAACTAGACTCATGAGACGAAGTTCAACTCTAAGCTCAAGAAGACAGGCGCTACAAGGTAATCGGGTTCTATTTACAATCGAGAGAGAAAGCAGAATAAGCGTTAGGCCAGCAAAGAACAAAGAAGAAAGTCCGTAACTATCTCGTCCTCGGCCACTCCTCGTTCTCGCCCCAGTCAAGAACCTTGTCCCTAGAGTGGTATACGATATGCGGAAATATCAGGTCGAGTAGTTCGCGACGCGCATGCTCGACGAAGGTGACACCGAACATCTCGAGGCGGGCTCTCGCCTCTCGAGGGCGTTCCGACTGGCCGAGTGCATGTCCGATGGATGCTACTTGACGTGGGCTTATCTTCCGATCGAAATCTGGTGCTGTGAACGCGACCGCGTCGAGCAAGGGACACCGTACGAGATACAAGTTTGAAACCACTGTGGCTGAGCGGTCGTCGTCCTCAACATGCGAGTTGTCAATGTCAAACCAAAGCGGTTCGATACGGAGCCTGACGTCGTATCGCCGGGAATAGTCGAGCCGCACACGGCGAAGCACCGGGAAATCGCACTTGTAGTTCAACAAAACACGGATAAGCCAGTACTCCAGTCGGATATCGACGACACGGAAAGCGAATATGCTGAAGTTCTCGAGGGTGCGCGAGTTCAATTTCTCGAAGCGGAATACGCGGCGATATCCATCACGCATCGCGCGAAATTCAAGTCCGGAATCTAAGCCTGGTTCCGTAATGTCCCTCATACGCATGGTGACGGCGCCAGGGATACTGTCCAGCAAGGTCTTTTGATCGTCCTGGCAGCCGTCGAAGCTTGTGTACGTTATCGCGGGGATGAGCGCCAAGTCAAGACTTCCGGTCATAGTAGCCATAGTAGCCAACAATCTGCAGCTCCACAGGTCTCCAATGTGAAGATGCTTCAGACTGATACCGCTGTAGTCAATAGAAGCGGGTGGCGCATGAGTGTACTCGGAGGCCTCGAATTCGATCTCCAGCTCGGCGATGCAAGGGAAGAGTCGCGAGATGCGTATGTCAGGACTATGGTAATCGTATCGCAGTGCGACACAGCGGACAGAACTGAACGCTGGAATGGGACCCTCGGTGAAAGAGATATTGCAGAAGGATACTCGTAGCAACTGCGGCGCAATTCCCGAAAAGATGTTCCGAGGCACAACGTGGGCACAGTGCTCGGGTTCGGCTTCGTGGTCTGAGTCGTCCTCCGAGCCGTACTTCGGATACGACGGTCGAGCAATCCGCGAAAGTTTCAAATGACGAAGAAGCGGAGCTGGTTGAAGGAGAACAGCCTGAAGCGCGTCACTGTGCTCGTCGGGAATTTCAACAGCAAGCCGGACAAGCATCGGCAGCGCCGCCCGGACGATGGGAAAGACTGAATCGCACATATAGTTGCGCAGCGTGGCCAGCGCACCGACAGGGTCGACGTCCTGACAGACTACAATCATAGCGACGGGTAGTTGCTCCGGGATCGCATACTCGAGTATCGCATGAGCGTGGGCGACCTGTCGAGAGCAGATGTTCGTGAAGATATTACGGTGGGTAGCTTTGATGCGTATCGTGATACAGAAGCGACTATCGCGCGTGATGACGCCGCGAAACCGCCTCGACACGCTCGAGACGAGGAGCAGTTGTGACGCTGGCAAGTAGTCCACCACGTGATGCAAGAGCTCGTTTGGAATGCGCCGCGTGTGATCGAGTGAAGCGATATCGTCCTCGTGCGCGCCTGGATCAGGCGGGGCGACCCTGAGCGTTCGTGCTGGAGGCGAAAGGGAAAGAAGGGCAAGTCCGGCGGCACGGGCCGAGCGAACAGATCCTCCGAAACCTTGAAACGTCAGTACCTAGAAACACAAATGAAAATTCAAGTTAGATGCTATCCCTATACTCACACGATGTAGAATTACCTCTCAGTATTACGGTTTCCAGTCTTGGATTGTTGAACTTTGACTGAGGGTTCGCGAAGATGTTCCATTTGCGCCGTCATAGAGCCTTTGCTGGCCCTGTAGCAGCGACGGGAACGCATCGAGTGACAAGGAGTGGACCTCAGGCTCTATATACGAGGGCCATTATCAATTTAACATGTCATGAGACCTTCAGCAATACCAATGAGACAGGTATTGCACGACTTCCCGGTTCTATTTAAATTCGATAGAGTAGAGTAAGCTTCAAGCTAGCAACGAACACAGAATATAGTCACTTCCCTAACTATCTCGTCCTCGGCCAGTCCTCATTCTCGCCCCAGTCAAGAACCTCGTCTCTAGAATGGTATATGATATCCGGAAATACCAGGTCGAGTAGTTCGCGACGCGAATGCTCGACAAAGCCAACGCCGAACATCTCGAGGCGAGCTCTCGCCTCTCGAGGGCGTTCCAACTGGCCGAAAGCACGACCAAGGAATCCTACTTGATATGGGTATATCTCCCTATAGCGTTTTGGTGCTGTAAACGCGACCACCTCGAGCAAGGGACAGCGAAGGAGGTACCACTTCGAAGGGGGGTCCGAGTCGCAGTTACCAGCAGTGCCCGCTTCGACGGAGCCGGGGGTGTCGCCTATGAACCCAGATCGAAGCTTGAGCGTTTTGCCAAAATCCGCAGGCTTGGAAAAGTCGATTCGCAAGCGGCGGAGCACCGGGAGATCGCACTCGAAGTCCAACACAGCACCAACGAAGGTGATCTCCAGTCGAATATCAATAATACGGAAGGCGAAATTGTTGAAGCCTTGGGGGTAGTCGAAGCGTTCGAAGTAGAACACGCGGCGAAGACCACCCTGAGTGGTATGAAATTCATATTCTGACTCGAACTCTGGCCCAAAGGCAGCCGTGGCAGCGATACCCGTAATGCGCATGCTCAGGGTGCCAGAGGTGCGATCCAGCAACATCTTGTGATCCTCCGGGCAGCCGACCAAAGTCGTGTACGTCACCGCAGGGATGCGCGCAAGGTCGAGACCTTCGGCTATAGTATGGAGGAAGCTACATCGTGACGTGCCCTCGAGGTGAAGATGTTCGAGACAGAGGTCACTGTAATCGATATGATGGGATAGCCGTAGCCCCCAAGGATCCTTATGGGACTCGAAGCCGACCTCCAACTCTGTAATGGAGGGAAAGAGTTGCGAGACATGAATGTCAGGAGTATGGGTATCGTATCGCAGTACTACGGAGCGGACAGAGATGAGCGCTGGAATAGGATCCTTGGCGAGAGCGACATTGCACAAGTATACTCGTTGCAACTGTGGCGCGATTCCCGAGAAGACGTCACGAGGCACAACGTGGGCAAATTTCCGTTCCGCCGTGTCGTACCAGGCGCTACCTCCGCAAAGCGACAAGTCACGTAGAAATGGAGCTGGTTGCAGGAGCACTGCCCGAAGCTCCTCACTGTAGTAGTCGGGGATCGTAACAGCAAGCTGGACGAGAATCCGTAGCGCCGCTCCGACGATGGGAAATACTATGTCGCGCAAATAATCGCGCACGGTTCCCAGCGCATCGACGTCGTAGAGCCGACAGACTACATGTACATCGAGGGGCAAGTGCTCCAGGGTCGCATGCTCGAGTATCGCATGAGCGCGGGCGACTTGTCGAGAGCAAATCTTCCTGGAGATATTATGGTCGGTAACGTCGATGTATATCTTGATGTAGAAGCGGCTATCGCGCGTGATGGCGGTACGAAACCGCTTCGACACGCTCGAAACGAGGAGCAGTTTC